TCTGAACATACAGAGATATACACAAGTTACATCAACGAAGTATGTCAGAGATAAAATGAGCAATGAATAACCTGATAAACAATCACTCCAGCGAAAGCACCAAGAAAGATACCAGCCACCATTGACGCCAACACTCCCCCAACAACAGCCAATGGCCAGACTAGGATAGCAAGACCCGCAAATGGAACACATATTGTTTCCAAGAAAGGGCCTTCTCGACCTATAAGGTCATGAAACAAACGGTGCCACCCCTTGAAGAGCATGTATGGGCATTTGCATATGGCAATAAATGAGATCACTGGCATATCAACCAAGAAACCAAGGACTGCTAATATTACAGCCCCAGGAAGATACAGCACCCTGCAAGAAAGTTGAAAAACTTCCTGGTCAGACGAAAAGAATGATCATGATGGATAGGTCTAACAAAAAGATAAACCGCTGGACCACAATAGCAAAAACCGATGAAACTAAAGTAATAAGGACACTTATCATGTATTATTCCTTCATCATTAACTTGTCTGATTGATATTCTAATAGAAACACAAATAAGCAAGCAGTAGATTTTGAGAGGCAGAGCAAAACAACATACCTAATCTCATAATATTTTGCGCCCGGGGGACCTTCTTGTTGCAGGTCATCCATAAGTGAGAAGTAAGTGTAGTAAAAAAAATCCCTGGTATCCCTCACAATAGTGAAGCACCTTTTGACAGTGCTCCAAGTTCCATCCTGAAACATGTTGTGAAAGATAAATCTCTGTTATGGAGGCAACAGGAGAAGAATGATCGGCAAGGAACAAGAACAACATAAAAATTGAAGACATACATAAAAGCAGTGGTACAGTTTATCGGTCTTCCCTTCTCCAACAGCTTCAAAAGTTCCCATTATCGGTGAAAAAAAGCCAAATGCTGCTCCACCCAAAATACTACCAACAATCCCAACCACTGGCCACAAGATCAAGACGATAGGTAGTACACATAAGCAGTTAACAATCTTCAGAACTGGCCCTAATCTCTTAGACCTGAAAAAATATATATAGATATATAAAAAGAAGAATCATGAGGAAGGTATTCTTATGGTTTTGCTGCTTTAAACACAACATGAGAATGAGATTTGAGAGAGATAACTAATGAAACATAGAAATTTGAAGATAGAGGCCAAGGGACACACCTCAAAACGCAATAATAGGTCCACACAAAGTGTATTGGCCAAAGACCCAGTATGATACAGGTGTTTCCGACTGTCATGATAAGGCATATCAACGGGCAGAAAACGATACCTGAAACAATACTTGGATATTAGGTTTAACAAGCGTTACTGATATCATACTCTTTCAAGCAATGTCTCTTCATTAATCAATCAACTCCTAATATCAACATTAACAAACCATTTCAAGATTGAACGCCAATTCTAATTTCCCAAAGCAACATTCTAAAAGGGGTGTATTCAATTGGGAATTTAAGAAATTTTAGTGGATTTATAAATCCACGGATTTTTATAGAGTTTAAATGATTTGTAGAGATTTCATGTAAAATTTTGATTCAATTCCCTCGAAATCTCTTGGGAAGAGGTGAGATTTGTGGATGCTTAAAATACACTACGGAATCTCTCCAATTCCCTCTAATTCCTCAATTTTTTCAAATTCTTTAAAATCAAATTATAATTGAATACACCTAGAATGTTATAAACTTTTTTAAAATCCTAATTGAATACACCTGGATTTCTAAGGATTTTAATAAACTATCTTAAAATCCTGATTGAATACACATTGAATTTCAGAGAATGACTCAATACTATCCACAATGCCGATACTTTTTATTACATGGAATGGATTCAAAACAGCCAAACAGCTGCCAAGCCCGGAACGAGCAGAAGACATAGATTCAACAAAAGGGAAACGAAAATCAAGAACCCAAGTTGTAAAATTCATGAAAAAAACAACATAAAAGTTTCAAAAGGTTATCAGTTCCCCATTAAAACTCGGAATTTAATCAAGAAAACAACCACATAAATCAGTTTTTGAGTTACCTTTAATGTTGCCAAGAATCAGAAGCCCTATGAAGTAAGGAAGAAAGCGGATGAAGTTCCACAAAGAAGCCCAAACCCCCCTTGGAGGTTCCATCTTCCTTCTTACTCCTCAGTCCTCACCAAAGCAGATCTTCAAAAACAAAAATCAATAGAAACCCATCTCATATTCCACTCCAATTCCGACCTGCAGGCAGTAAAAATCCAATCTTACTGACAGAAACAGTAAAACAAAGCAATAAACTACAAAACCCAGTTCAGAAACTTACCCAAAATCTGTGATTCACTCTTCTTCTGGCTTCAAGTTTTGATTTTTTAACCTTCGAGTTGAAAAATATGAACATTAAATAGTAAAAAATCACATGGGGTTTGTGATTTGTGAAACGATATGAAGGCGGTTGAAGAAACGTTTCGAAGTGGTAGGAAAATTGTGAATGGTGGCGGGTACCATCCAGGAACCAGGAGGAGGAGCTCAAGGAGGATGATGCTTAAGCCGTATTTTACTTTTCAGATTTCTGTTCACTTGAAAGCAAAGCAACCAAAAAAAAAAAAAGAAAAAAGAAAAATACAATAAACAATTTGCACAAAGAATGAACACCACACAATGACTCGGACAACGCAGTTGCGCAGTACCATAAGTAGTTTTATTTTCTTTCTTTCCTCTTATTTGATACAATGTTACAAACGACATTGAAAAAAAAAAAAAAAAAAGTAGAGAGTTAAATTCGAGACCCAGGGTAGAGAGTGAATATTTTTAACTGGACTACAAGTTTCGTGCCACTATTAATAGCAAGTAATGTTGTATGGCTGATATCGATATCATCTTAATAAGTTGCTCATAATGTTGTATTATATTCGTTCGTAACACAAATATGCCGTTTTGTGTTGACAGTAAAAAGTCTAAGCAGCGATTTTTGCAAACCCATTTTTAAGTAATGCACACCATTCTAATACTTTAGAAAAACTAACAACAACTACAAAATCAAACGTTGTCTTATTAAGTGAGATTGACGATATGAAATTTAGAATGACACTGCACTCAGAGTAAAAAAAAAGTGCATCATTTCCCTAGTATAGATTTGCTATACTAATAATCTATTTTAATTTTTTTAAGTAATAACGTTATTTGAGAACATTTTCCGGCTTAAATAGTTTGAGATTTTCAAACCAAAACAATAATTTTATAGATTTGATCTATTTGTTTGGACAACATCCAATCTACAGGCTCCACACACTTACTCAAAAGCATGTGATTTGATGTCCACCATAAGAATTTTGCTTGCAAATTTCAATGAACATTAATATTCTTTTCTAAATTGTCAAAAATTTCATCAATACTTCTTCTTAAAACGGATAAGAACGTACTCACACTTTATAGTGGCCATGTGTCCCTTCTATTTTAATTCTCTGAACTCTTCAATTACGTACGTTCAATCAAAAATTGAATAGTCAGAAATTGATTTGATGTTCATCTTCTTTCATGGTTACTTTCTCTTGTTCATCCTCTTTTCTCTTCTCCATCCCTCTCTCCAGCTTCAGAATTGAAGGATGCAGAAAATTTGGAAGGAAGTATCCGGAGAGAATCCCAATCCCTCCAATTGAACCTAAGTTTTGGCATCCAATGAAATAACAAGTATTGTTGGTTAAACATAACAAGACGTAATCTCAGTTGCTTTTGTGTGCCAACAAAGGTGACTTTTGTATCTCTTTTTTCTTTTGGGCCGTTGGTCGTTGCCAATGCAGGAATTTAGACCGGGGCCAAATGATTGGACTTTATCTGGAGATTGCCTAAAATGCTCAAGCGTCCAATTCTTGCTACTCCTTTACAACGGTGGTAACTTGCAAGCATCTTGATCCTGAGAAATAAAAACTTGCATAATCAAGAAATTCTTATGTCCGGCAGCTAGATTGTGTCACTCATGTAATCACACATACAAAGATACGAGTTTTGTATTGGGATTCTATACGTCACTATGATGTGATCTACCAGCACCGAACCAAAGAATTTCTTCACTTGGTGGCATTTGTTAACCATCCATTAAAAAGAAAGAAGTATTCACTAACTTTAAGTCCCTTGAATCCATTACCCGTTTTTTTTTTTTTTCTTTTATACGAATGATAATTACAATAAATTATCTAAATTAGATGAAAGTAGACTCAAACTTGAGTAAAAAAAAGCACACTGCTCTGCTAAGTTAGCTTAGTTCTTTTTTCTTATAAAGGATAAGGATAAAGTCCCTTCAGTTACAATAGCAAATTAACGCAAGTTACCAACAAGAAAAATAAATAAAATAATCCATCGCAAAAAATTATTTGTCTTTTGAATTGTAAAAGAATAATTATCACATGATTAATTGCAAGACGTCATGTTTACCAATAAAAAAATTGTTATCAGTCAAAATCACCCTCTTCTTTAAGGAAGCAAAATATTTTGATAAGGTAGAGCGAGATTCTCTTTGGATCTCACTATCTCGAGCACAATGACCAAAGAATTTATACCACTTATATTGAACTTTACGGTTTTTATTAGTTCATTTCGCTGGTCCATTCCACACAAATCAAAACCCAGATCTCTCTATTGAACAATCCTGATTTTCTGATCCTCGGGCTCTGGAACAACGAGTTCCGGAGAAAATCTCAGCTCGTTTAGATAATCCAGCATTGTACACAAAATATTCTCTTTTTTTATTATTCTTGTTACTTTAAATACAATAGAATCCAGATATTATTCTTCTACGTAACTTCCACCATATATTGCTGTAAAGGTTTCCACCATATATTCCTTCTGGCACTTCAAAATGATGATTAATTAGCATCTAATCTATATTACTATATTCAAATCTCTAATTTGCAGCACGGAAAATGCTAAGGAGACCACGTTCACATGTATTACGTTGTATAAACCCTTAAATAGAATAATAAATGTAGTCTCCGTAGCATTATAGCGTTTGACACAAGGAAGAAGTTTATCCACGTGGTAAGCAGAAATCGGACTGAATTTATACGAGATGAATGTATTTGTTACAATGTAATCATGGGAAGTATACAGAGACGAATGAACAAAAATCAACGGAAAGTTCATACTTCGTAGTAACGAATACCTGGTTGTTTTGTGTCTTTACAGCGTATTTTATTCGTTATCAGATGTTTTTGCATCTCTTGAGTTGTGAAACTTCTGAAGTTTTAAGAAACTTGTCTGGAAGTGTTCCTACCTTGCCCGTTCACCTTTCTCTCCGGTGGCCGTTCCCCTAAAAGTCTTACATCAATGTTAGCTCTGGATTCCAGTGAGGACTGAACCACTGTGTCATAAGCTTTTGAAGAGAGGGCAAGGCGTTGAGTTCGAGCTCTCAAATATAGCTCATATGCAAGCCTTGGCTTCCCTTCCTTTGCGAGAGCCTCAATCATCATTTCGTATGTGACATGGTTTGGAGGGATGTTCTGAGCTTTCATGCGGTCAAACCAATCGTATGCAGCACTGCTAAAACCGTTTCTTGCAAACCCACTGATAATGGCATTGTATGTGACAACAGTTGGCTCAATGCCTGCTGAAACCATGTCATCAATGATGGTTTCTACCATGTTAGGTTTTCCATGGCCACTGAAAATCGAAGCCATAGTTGTGTAGGCATACAAGTTTGGCTTCAGACCAACCTTAAGCATATGTTCCCACACCTGACGGGCCTCATCATAGCGCTTACCCTTCTCGAGGGCACTAAGCAATGCCCCGTAAGAAAGGATTGTGGGTTTCTGGCCTTGCTCCACCATTCTCTTAAAAATTTTGACAGCCGCAGAGGTTTCAGCAGCCTTGGAACAGGCAACAAGAACCGCATTCCATTCCTTACTTCTTGGTTTAAGCCCTTTCTCTTCCATCTTGTTGAGCAACCTGACACCCCATTTCCAAATCGCTCTCTTTCTAGCTGCACTTAGAAGGACATTAAAGTGAGATACTATCAATTCATACGACATGTTATTTGGCTGCGGCCCCTTGTCCAACATATCCTCATAAATCTCCAAAGCTGCCCACCATTTCTTAGCCTTCCCCATCAACCAAATCGTATGGTTACACACGGCTAAACTTATGTCAGAATGCTTTTCTCTTATCCTACTATACAAATCTTTTGCTACAATATAATGTTCTTCGCGGGTGCAAGCCCACAAAAGGCGCTCGTGCTCTGCCCTCCCAAGTGGAACCCCAGCAATATCCATCTCTGTTAGCAGTATGAGCACATTGGTGGTTAAGTTATCATCCCTCACAAGCCACCTTCGCATCACTTGGTAGCAAACGCGTTTTGTAAAGTTCTCAAGCTTCACAAACTCCTCTTCCCAGTCTACATCAGCATCTATACCTATATGACCTTTACGATAATTTTCTCTAAACTCAACAAAGAACTTTAAAGCTCCATTCCCATCTTGCATTCGTTGATAAGCCAACAATGCTGTGGAGTACGATACTGAAGACGGAATCAGGCCCTTCTCTTGAATCTCCTCAAGGACATGAAGGGCCTCCATACTTTGTCCCCGTTCAATGTAAATAGCCATTTTAGTGTTGTAAGTTACAACATTCGGTACCACCCCTTCCCTAGTCATATCGCTCAATACTCTGTCAATTACTCCAAATTGTCCAGATTGCTTCACTGCACCCAAAAGACTGTTATATATGAATAAGTTTGGGGTAATGAAACCATTAGTTTCTTCCTTCTTTCTCTTAAGCCACTCGACAGTAGCAAAAGCGGAATCCATCAATCTGTCTCTTCCGAAACCCCTGATAATGGATGAGAATACTTGGAGGGGCAAATCACCCGTGTCCTTCAGAACCTCTTCAACATCATCAGCTGTTTTCGCAAACTGTAAGCTTAGCGCCAGCGCACGCACGTCAATCTTTTCATTTCTCTGTTCCCAATTCTCTCCTTGACCTCCTATACCTATTTCATCATCATCATTACCATCACAGCCCTTCCTTCCATCCACATTTCGATGATCAACAACACCCTCACCCTCGCATTCACCCGACAACCTATTTTCCGATGTCTCTTCCTCCACAAGAACCTCATTCCCAATTGCTTGCTCCTCCAATGCCCATGCTACCACAAACGAACCGCCAAACGAACCCTTCTTCGGCTCACAAAACCGAGCAAGTTTAAGTCTAGAGTGCCCAGAGAAGCACCCACATCCGAAACCAAATTTTCGGCTTCCATTGAAACCCTCACTCCCAAGTAAAACATCACCATTTCCAACATTACAAACAGGAAAACCAACAACTCCAATCTTTTTCCTCCTACTTCTAGTTCTAAATTTACAAGAAGAACCAGGTCCAAATCCTACCTGGGGTACTTCCCAAGTGATTAAAGCTTGCATTTTTCCAGATACTTACAAGAAACTATAACAACCCAGACTTGAAATGCCTCTGAAATTATATAATTTCCAGCAAAGTTTGCATTTTTACAGATTTCCCAGCTACTGCAAGAGATGGGGACATACCTGAACTCCAGATTGAAAAGCAGAAGCCAGATAAATATGGATAATTCTGCAGCTTTTGGTGGAAGTGCTTAATCAAAAGCAAGTGAAATTCTGAAGTGGGTTTGATTTCGTTTCGCAGTGGTGCTGTGGTTTTCTCACAACCATTCAATTGAAATGCGATCGGTGGTGAGCTAGAAAAATCAGTCAAAAAACAACTGGAAAATGTAGGGAAAATCTGTTAATTTTATTGGGCCTAAATGTTTTTCAGCAAGTGACCCAATAACTTTCTATTTAATATTGGGCCTAGGCCTATTTCTATTTGTACTTGCGCACCATTGAAGAGTTTTTTTTTTTCTTTTTCACACAAGATAAAAATCTCGTTTGAAAGTGCTTTAAAATGATTTAAAACATGCAAGTGGTTGTTTACCACAATAATGGAGATGAGTGTTACCTTTGCATCACGACGTGAGTTTGAATCATGTCGACTCTCTAAACTAACATCTAATTTAATAAATCTATAGTTTGACAAAAAATAAATGAATAAATAAATGATTGAAAACGTAATTAGAGAAAACTTCTTTTGATTCCAAAAGCACTTGAAGTGCATTCTACTTTATGTGCTTCTGTAAGGAAGCACTTTAAGTACTTTTTTAGGATTTACTTGCAATTTTACTTAAAATTGGTTTTAAAAACATTTTCATCAAAAACACTGTTAATCATTTTAAAACACTTTCAAACGAGCTTAAAATATTTACAGAAAGAGAGAATTTTTGAAATGTCATATGAACTTGCACACAATTTTCAATTTGTCATATAAACTAAAATTTTAATCAATTTGTCATATCAACTTTTTGAAATCATTAATTTGTCATTTCACCCTAACTCCATTATGTTTTACATTCAATATAAGTCATGTGCCTTGCACATGACCTGTTTTCAGGGTTATTTGAGTCATTTCAGCATCTTTTCACAAGTTTTTTTTTTTTTTTTGGGTACTTTTCCTTAGTACAAACATTTAAATTTTGTAGAGAATATTCAAGGGGATATGTGTGAACAAAATCTCTGAGAACAAGTATAGTGTAGCAGCAGTCCCTTCTATGGCTTTAGAAACTTAGAAGTTTTTCATCGAATACAACATAATAAAAGGGAAGTGAAGTGATAAAATGACCCAAATAACCCTAAACACAAGTCATGTGTGGGACACATGTCGCACATGACTTATATTGGATGGAAAACTTAATGGAGTTGGAGTTAGAGTAAGATGACAAATTACTGATTTTGAAAAGTTGATATGACAATTTACCTAAAATTTTAGTGTATATGACAAATTGAAAATTATGTACAACTTCATATGACATTTCAAAAAATTTCCCTAACAAAAATGCTTTCAATGTCCGGCAATCTTTCCATAACAAGTTATAATTTAATATCAAAACCATTGGTGAAGTGAAAATAAAGCGTCATTTCATAATGTAATTTAAACCTGAGACTTTATAAAACTACGTAAAAATGTTGATGCATTGGTCATTTCATAAACATGACATGAATTTGAGACCTAAACCCATGTACCATTTTTCTTATAATTTGATTTTGTGACTTCTTTCCTTTTAAATTCTTTTAAATTATATTCCTCCAAAATTTTCTTTTAATACTTTTACCAAGAAAAATAAGACTAGTTGAGGTTATTATTCATATGAAGCAAAATAAAATATAAATATGGTCCTAATAAAACAATGACACCTTTTTTTTACTGTTAAAATATGTAATTAATAATGCAAGAACAAGAAGGGTCAGTGTGATAATTTCTGAAAAAATAAATAATATAAAATAGCAAGCAACCCATGCACGCATGGAAGAGACTTTTCAATATTCTGATAACATAATTTGGTATACCAATTGTTATAATACAAATGATTAGATATTTGAAGAAGAAAAAATGCCGAGCCTTTGTATAATGAAAAAAATACCTAACGGTGGTCTCGACATACTTAAAAAGTTTTCCATGCATGGAAGCTGGGAATAAAGAAAAACTATAATTTAATGAGCATAAAATCTGTTAGCTAGCTATGTGATATCTTCTCACATTGGCATGCCAAACAAGAAGCAAATCCTGATGGGGTGCGTGAAAGAATCAATCTTGTGCTCAATGTTGCGCTGCATGCATGATTTTTCACATCACTTTTTGTAGTCTTGCATGAGCATGCATCTAGATTGCTCGATCGATCTTCACAGCTCCCTATTATATAATTAAGGGTATATAATCTTTCAAAATCTCTATTAATTATTTCAATACGTACTTGTAAGGAATATATGATTTTTTTTGTCAAATCGCTTTGATAAACATATAATAGTATCATTTAAGTTAACATTAATGTAAATTGCAGACTTCAGCGTAACAAAGATGGTCGAAAAACAACGTGCACTTCTTTTTTCACATAAATTTTAATCTTTATTTATACTAAATTACAATATCACTCGAACAAAAAAACATAATCTTGATCATACCAAATTTGTAATTACAAATAAGAAATGAAAGAAGAATACATCAAATTTTACCAATGTAAAAGTTTTAATGAGTGTGATGACTGACACATAGCGGTACTAACTAATTAATATACGTGTTTAAATAACACTTATGTTATAACATGAGTAAGTGATTTGAGTAAAATAACATTAGATGACAGTTTGACGATCCGATAACTGAGGTCCATTTAAAAATGCAAAGATACAAGTCATGACTAAATGATCACTTGAAACGGTGCCTTGTAGGCCATCCTAGGATGCTACACATGCATATAGGAGAGAAGATGCTCCAGTTAAACTCTAAGGGTGCGTTTGTTGCATTGGATTATTTTTTACTGAACTAACTTTAAGGACTAAACTGGACTGGCTTAAACTAGACTAAACTTGACTAACTTAGTGAAACGTTTGGTACAATGTCAGATTAAGAAACATGATAACTACAATACTCAAATATTATATTATTTAATCTACATTTATTAATAGTTTATTATTAATTTATCATTTTTTTTTTGTTTCTAGAATCATCTCTCTATCTAATAGCCAATATCTTTTTATTTATTTTTCTAAAATCATCTTAATCCATTCCTCTTTTCCTCCGCCAATCTCTCCCTCTCCTCTCCCTCTTTTTATCATGTTTCACCATTTTTCTAGAATTCTTTTCCTCTTCGTATACCTCGCCCTATTTTCCTCCGCCCACTCTCTCCCTCCCCTCTCCCACTTTTCCTCGTCCATTATCCCCCTCTTTTCCTTATGTAGAGATTCGCACAGAGGATTTATCGGAGCTCTCCACCCAATACCTTCATTGATTTTCTAGGAAAATCTTAAAATTTTCTAGTGATTTTGCCTTTTTATTTTGAATTTGTGTGGGGGATTCGTCTGCAGGTGCTTAATTCTGGGGGTTTTGCATTTTTTGTTTTGTTTTGAATTTTAGGTGTTGATTTTGAGATTTAGGTAGTGGGTTTGAGATCTGGGCATGGGTAAGGGAGTCGGAGTTGCAACGACAAAGGCGTGCAAACGATGTTGGAGATGGGATTAGGAATCCCATGCTTTTTTGTTGTTGGGGGGGGGGGGGTGGGGGGTTCTCACTAGGACAACCTAGCGAAGCACTTAGTCTCATTTAAGTTTAGTCCAGCTTGCATCAAACATGGGATTAGTAGTTTATCAAAGCAATCCAATCCAGTGAACTTTAATGAGGGCAAACAAACACGTCCTAAATTCACAGTATAAGATATAAATTACTTATGCGTCGTTTGGCGGCTCTCTAAAGTCCAAAACCTATGAGTTAATGTAATATATTTCTCCTAGGATCAACATGTTGTGGGGTGTCAAACCTTATGCATGCAAATTTGTTTCTCTTATCCGACGTCCACCATGTGGTCGTATGGACATCAATTTGTCACTTTCGTGAATGCTCACAAAACAAACTTCATTATCATTATCAAAGTTGATTAACAAATGACCCCAAAGAAATAAAAATAAAAAAAGCTTAATTAGCAACTCCATAACCACCGCGGCTAATTAACAGTTGGTTCACAAGCTAACGGAATAAGTTCTCGATGATTTAGTGAATCTTAGTTTTGATTACGGCTACTTACCCTTCAAATAAGGAGGATTAATTAAAAAAATTTGGGTTAGCGGTACTATATATAGGGGTGTGATATCCACACACCTCATTTTACTTCTCACACACCCTTTTAATTTTCAACCGTCGGATCAGATGAATTAAAGAAGATCAACGGACATAAATTAATAAGGGGTGTGTGAGAAATAATTTGGGATGTGTGGATAGCACACTCCTACATATATTCTGAGTTAGACGATGAAGTGTTCAATGTTCAACACATTTGGACATGGTTGAAAGGAGGAGGAGGAGATAGAATACACGTATTGTTTAAGCTCCCTCCCATGTGGTTTGATGCCCTAGAGAGATTAGCCAACCACCCAGAAGAAAAAGTAAACACAAAAGAAGTCTTTAGCACCCACCTAACTGATATAAACATAAAAACCTAACAACATCACAAATTACGGATGAAGACAAAGAAAGCTAGCTCTATTCATTTTTAATTTAATCGAACATAAATTCCATATGCCACATTAATTTGAGATCTATTTTTCATTTTTAAAAAGATCTATCAATTGGCACTTAACATGCTAAATCGTATATTGGATGCTGATTCTTAATTTAGATCATATATAGTTCTAAATAAATCATGAACTTAATTAACAAGGTTAAACGAGTCATCATTTACTTTTTTCAAAGAAATGAGGTTTTATATACTCATACCATAATTCGTAACACTTTCTATAAATCATGATTAGATTTCTATAACTATACTATATTTTCATTAATTATTTTTAATAAAATCTCCCTCACACCGTCTAGGTGCTCCATAAATACACAAGAATTATTGTTAAATCACCAAAGGATCATATATATTTTTTGAAAGACAAATTGATTAAGCAATTGATTTTGTCTTGGCCCGCCAATCAAGCAACCGTTTTCCTAAGCACCTACCCCCATGTGCACTTGGCCTTCCATAAAATAAGCAGAGGGAAACCATGCCCATATTGTCCCTCTTGTGGCATCCTCTCATTGGCCAACCACTACTTTTTGCAACACTCCTTCGGGCGGCTTGTATTTAACTGATGTCCTTATTATATTTTGCCCTAGTTA